GAGCACGATGCTGCCAAAGAGTCCTTCAATTGTTCGTGTTCAGGTTTGCCCACTTAAAAAATCCACTGTCGGACGATCGTATCATGAGTGTAGCCTGCGCTCACTGGGCTCAAGAGCAGGTTTTGCGACCGAGGATACGATATAGGCGCCTGAACTGTTCATCATAGATGACATAGACATATTATAAATATCAACCAGTCTACCAGTAGCAGGTCCCAACATGGCTTCTTTTTTTGGATATCGTGTGCCCTATTTCAGAGTAGATGGCACAGCCCCAAGGGGTAAGTCTAGGAAGTAGCCGGGGAGTCTTTGACTTTCACTTGGGGCCTGTTTCTGATTGCCGGAATAGAAGCCAGGGGATGCAACTGTGACGGCGCTTTCTGAGTAAAATGTCTCATGGACAGAAGCTCTAGTAACTAGTAAGGATGCTGATTGATTGATTGCTTGAAGAACAAGTCACAGTTTCACAACATGAGCCAACTGCCATCCTCAATTTTGTTGTTGTTTGTGTGAGGGGACTAGGACCGGACACCAGTTAGTAGGAAGCGCGATAGCTATGTAACAAGCATTCCTTGTAGAGAAGGTGACTTGCGCGGTGCTCAGTGCCGTTGAAGCCATGACATGAGCTGCAGAACAACGAGTGCGTGGCATGCAGAAAGCTCGAGCTGAACTTAGCAACTGGGAATTCTGATTCGTACCTTTTAGATTTGGATGATTTGGGCAAATATGACTTGGGGGGGGCGCACAAGTTTGCGGCTTGAATATGCTTTCAATGTACACCATGATTGACCGTCATGAAATCCACTGCATCGATGTCTTCATGTTTTGCATATGTCGATGGATCCAAACTGACGGACTCTTGGCAGATCGACCTTCAACGGTTCACTGATATCCGTCCGCGGATGTGAAGCGATGTCGACCTTCCAGGCAATTGGAGGCTCTTGTTGATCCATCCAGTACATGGGAAAAAGATGGAACAGGGTTTATGCTCCCAAGTCCTCTCAAGTCGGTTGTTTCATATTATATAGATGTTGGAGTGTGTTATTATTGCGCAGCCATTATAGTACGGTATATTATGTTTTGTCCTTTGTGAAACACATTGGCTCGATTTGAACCAACCATGCCAAAAGGAAACCCGGTGACGGTGCATTGCATCAGCCAGGGGATTTCGTGACGGGGACTAGGCACAGACACATCATACTGGATTCATTGGCCTGTCGCCTTGTGTGGTTGTCTCAAAGGCACCAGGTTTCGAGTTTCGAGGCGTTTTTTGGGACATGACAACTGTTTCTTGGACGTGAACCATCAGAGGGCTAGCTGGGCCAGGCCCCCTATGCTATGTCATGTCCCGTTATTGGTTAGCCCGGTGAGCATCAGCCGCATTGTCCATGAGGTCGTTTGGAGACTGTATGCAAGAGCCTGATCTCATGCATCGAATGCCCCATTTGTTGCGCCCTAAGCATTCGTGGGGCAGATTGTGATCAATGATGAGGATTGATTTTGCTGTGTCTTCCAGCGGTTTGCTTTCAGGACTCGCTTCAGTTAGTTTCTCAGGACTGGTTTAGCTCTTGCGTCCTCTTTGTTTTGAGCCACCAATGTCCTGTGTCCTAAGATCAAAAAGGCGGCATTTCTTGAGAGATCCTTTAGGACAAACTGAGTCGACCTCCCATCTCCTATCAAGTGTTTGGATGAGCTGTAGCCATTATTGAACACTTGCGTTTTATCACGAAAGGTAGCCTCAGGCTACCTGAGTTCTCCTTGCTTTAGAAAAAAATATGGAAACATGTATTGTAAGCAGGACTTTACCATTATTGAACACTTGCCTTTAATTTGAAGTAGAAGCACCCACCTGGCCAGGTAGACTGGTCGATGTTCCGAACCAAAACCAAGGGGGGTCCAAGTCCAAGTCCGTAGATCTCCCAATGTCTTTGAGTGAGTGTCCCCCAGAAGCCCCCTAAAGTCGTAACCCTCCACGGCATACCGCCAGAAGGCCCATGAATCCCAGTAGGAAGATCCCTTCCACTAAGCCGAAACCGTAACCCCTCACTAAGCCTTCCTTGAGTGAGTATTCATGAATACCATTTTAGTGCACACCTTGGACTCGGTCCCTCCCGAGGCATGGAAATCATGACTGAAGCAGCGAGCGGCTGCTGCCCCTCGGACCGGTTGGTCTTTTCAGCTCCGGAACGAGAACCGAGGAAGCTGGTGAGCCCTTAGTAGGTCACCAAGATCCGCAAAGGTGCTGCTGCTGGAGGTTTGGCATTCGGAAGCGAAAGGACCATTCATTCAGCTCCCAGTACTTAGCGCACGACTGAAGTCCAGCAGTTTCGCCCAAGACTTCTGGTCCCCAAAATAAGCATCAAATTAGCATCATCAACCCCAACCATGAAAGCTGAGAATGTCCGTCTTCAAACCACGGCACCGCTATAGGTGGTCATTGCTTTTGCATCGGCTGCTTCGGGTGCTCCTTGACCTCCTCCTTTAGCTGCCCCACGTGCCGTGAGCGCCTGGGCAGAGGATCTGAAAGCACATATGGATTTGCACTAATTTTGTATATATAATTCACTCATGACTTGTCATGACAGATTTTTGTTACCGTGCTTGTAGGCTCGAGGGGTTTGTGAAGTTGTTTTTGGTGAGGAGATGGATGGGGGTGCTTGCACCCCCGATCCTGAAGATGGAGCCAAAATGCTCAACGCCCTCACCGAAATAGGGTTAGTTGGCCCCCGCCTTGCAGTCAGCCATGGTTCAGAGGAATCCCTGGCAAGGCAGCTGGCCGAGCGGCTTGGGTTGGAGGCCAGGCCGTGGCATGTGTCCTTTGTGAAAGGACAAGTCCGCGAAGCGGTCCAGATGGCAGATCTCGACAACCGTGTTGTGGGAACATCTTCGTCGAGGTCTATCCAGAACCTTGCGGACGCCAGGGTAGCCATGGAGAAGGAAAGCAAACCCCTTGAGCCACAGGAGAAAGCTCCGGTTCCTCTGGTACTGCCCAAGCGAGGCACGCTGGGGAGGACAGTACGCCTGAGAGGGGGCCGCATCGCTGCAGAGGGTGAAGTCAATGACAAGGTCCTCTGCAAGTTGGTTGATGAGCTCAAGATATTTGATGCACCCGTACTTGGCGACATCGTGAAGGCCATGAATCCAAAAAGGGCACAGGACGCATTGCTGGGGAAGTACCGGCTATCGACGGTCAGGCGGTACCTGGCTTCATGGCAGCGCTTCCGGGTGTGGGCCGAGTCCATGGGCAAGCCGGGGCAAAGGCCAAATTCGGTGATGCTGGTGGATTACATGTATGCACGAGAGGAGGAGGGTATGGGTGCATCCATACCCCTCGCAGTTAGCACAGCAGTGGCCTGGTTTGAGCGAACGGCAGGCATTCCTGACGATGAGCAACTGATGGCACAAACTTTCCCCCAGATGGTGATGAAGGAGTTGACGAAGAAGCTTGAGCAAAATGCTCCACCAGTCCGGCGAGCGCCTCGCTGGCTCGGATGCTTTGTGGCACCAATGGAGACCTTGGTGGTGGATGGTGCAATGCCGCTGGAGGTCAGAGTGTGTGCCTGGTTCAAGCTTTTAAAGCTCTGGACCTCGATGAGGTTTGACGATGCAGCGCATCTGAAGACGTCGGAGGTACGCTTCTATGATGGACAGCTCATGGGGATCATACGCCAGTCCAAGACGTCGGGGGCTGGCAAGCGAGTTCGGGAACTGCCGATTTTCATCACGAGGGATGCCTATGTGGTCCAGGATGACTGGCTGGCAGTTGGCTTTGATTTGGTGAAGCTCAAGATGCCGAGGGACCGAATTTATGTTTTTCCGGAGGGCTGCTTCTATGGCACGAAGTATGGAGTCTCGCATGTCACGTATGCGGAGGCAGTGTCGGGGAGCGCTCGGACGATGGCACTTCTGGAGGGATACAAAGGTAGGTTGATTCCTTCGGGATGGGAGAGGTTCTGGTCCGAACATAGCGAAAGAGCAACCCTGCCGAGCGGCTTGGCGGCCTTGGGCGTGGAGAAGGGTGATCGTGACTACCTAGGGAGGTGGTGCCCTGAGGGCTCAGATGTCTATGTCAGGACCTACAACGCCATCGTGAGGAAGATGCAGAGGAAGCTGGTCAGTGTCTTGAGAGGCGAGACCGCCTATGAAGACTTGGATGAAGGTTCGATCCTGGAGGAGCTCAAGGCGTGGCTGACGGAGAAGTGGACGGTCCCTGAGGATCAAGCCGAGAGCGTAGTCGAAGCCTGGAAGGACCAGATCGGAGCGAAAGGCAGGCCTCAAGCAGTCATTCCACTGTCGGAGGACGACACGACGATCTATGATGACTCGCAGAGCGACAAGGGTGGAGATGAGCCGGCACAGAAGGACCCCAAGAAGAGGAAGATTGGTGACCCTCTTGAAGAAGAGAGGGAGGGCAACTACGTGGTCGTGTACAGGCGTGCTGGCCAGGGGACGCTCCACCGGCTGGGAAGCAAGGGCTGCTGGATGGCAAAGAAAAGGTATTTCGTGAGCTCAGAGGTCCACGAGAACCTGCCAGAGCCCGAGGTGTACACCCTCCGATGCAAATTGTGTTGGGGTGGTGGTGGCGGACAGTTGAGCGAGTCCACAAGTGACTCACATGACGAACTGAGTCTCAGCGACTAAAACGGCTGCTGGGGAGGGAGTGGAGCTTTGAAGAGCATTAGGTTGAACCCTTGGTCGCACCAAGGGGCGGTTGAGCGGTGAGTCCATGTCAAGCCATGGGTAGGGCAGTAGGATGATGGGACCCCGGGCCGAGCGAGCCGCTCAGGCACTGGGGCGGAGCGCCGCTTGCGCACGGGAGCCCGAGTCTGCGGAAGAGGCGGGGTCGCACCTCACAGCACGCAGAGAGGGGGCATCACATCGCATGTGAGCGGTTTTGTGCATAGCATGCACGATAGGCACAGCAGTGTCATGGCGGCATCGCATGCTGCACATCTGGCCGGCGTGTCCAGAGAGGGTGGGCTCAAGCCTGTGGGGCGAGCATGCCTCGTGCTGTCCTCACGGATGCTGAGGGCACTAGGGCCTTGGAAGCGGCAGGCACGGACCTCAAGTATCTGCTGTCAAGGCACGAGGTGAGCATTGACAACCAGAAGTTATTTTTCCATCATGGTGTTACAACACTGGAGAAGCTGTCGAATTTTGCGAAGGATCGTGAGGATCTTACAGCAGTGTTGAAAGAACATTGGGAGTTGGACTCGGAGAGGACACTGGATGAGAGAGTTCAGGTGGCTGCCATAGTGTGCGCATTCAGCAATGCAAAGACGAGGAGCCAGCGAGCGGCAGAAGTTGATGCCGAGTACGACTCACTCCAGTGGTCACGCCCGGTGGTGGCAGGGGAATGGGCAGCTATGCGCTCAGCATTGGAGAAGCGCTACGGCTACCTGGAGGACAAGATATACCCTGCGAAAGAATATGTTGAGAAGAAGTTGGCAGAGGTTGAAAGCGGTGAATACCGTGCCGAGGAGCTCACGGAGATCGTGTCAAAAGAAGAAAGCGAGCCGGAGACTGTGGTGCCCATCTGGGACTCCAAGGGCCGATTGGCCATGAAGAAAGGCTCGACGAAAGTACAGGAACCGGCGAACGCCGAAGAACTTCGAAAGAGATTGACAGTTTGGAAGAACGCCATGGTCATGATATCACTGAAGCACTCCAACAGGCATGAGCTGCAAGGCACATGGGAGGAGACCGTGGAGCAGTACAAGGACTACCTGTTGGGGGATTATGTGTATGGACTCTGTGCGAAGGATGCAGAGGGTCAGACGTTTGCTGCACCACCCTGGAAGCTGATCATCGCCTACGAGAAAGCCATCAGAAAGCAGGCAGTGAAGATCACTAACACAGAGGGCAAACCATTGACAGTTGCATTGAAGATGGCATGGAAGGACGCCACAATCAAAGAGCGGAACTTTACCACCCCCCTTGCTCTGTATGCAAAGCGGCCTACGCCACCATGGAGAGAGCAGCCAGATGCCAAGTGGAGATCCACGGAGGCGAAGGGTGGCAAGGGCAAGGACAAAGGCAAGGGCAAGAAGAGCAAAGGAAAAGGGGGTCAGCATTGTGCCACTCACACGCCAGATGGCGAATTGATCTGCTTCCGGTACAACACACCGGGGGAAAAATGCAAGATGGCGAAGTGCAAATATCGCCATGTGTGCGGGATATGCTTCAGCGAGAAGCACCCGCTTTACGAGTGCAATCCGAAAAACCGCAAGGAGGCGGTACCACCGGACACGGATGGGGCCCGGTGAAGGACTCTCAGAGTCCTCTACGTCTTCTCAGGGAGGAGGCGCCGCAGTTCTGTGGCAGGTTTCTTGAGGAGGCTCGCACCACGAATGGATGTCCAAGTGGAGATCACGGAGTTAGACATCCAGACCGACCGTCGGTCAGACTTCACTTTACCAGCTGTACAGAAGAAATGGTTGCAGATGATCGCTCAAGGCGTATTCTTTGCAGTCATTGTCACACCTCCCTGTTCGACTTTCTCGCGAGCTGTATGGGCGAATGATCTGGGTCCGTATCCGGTGAGGAGCTCTACGTTCCCGAGAGGATTTCCTTGGAACAAGGGGGATAGGTTTCACAAAGCAGAATTTGGAACTATTTTGGCAGATTTTTCCTATGAGGCCTTGAAGCGCCAATTTGCTTGCAGTCAACGGGTGGGCTTGATGGAACAACCAGAGGATTTGGGGCGCACCTCAAATGATAGAATACCTGGACATCAGCCAGCATCCATGTGGCAATTCGTTCAATTCGAACAACTCCTGGCAATGCAGGGAGTCAAAACAGTGGTCTTCGCACAGCAGGACTTTGGCACTTCATCGCCCAAGCCCACAAGGTTTCTGATGCGGCTATTTGCACCATTGCATCCAGCCATGCATGAAGGGCCACCACAGTTTGATGGCAATGGTTGGTATTTGGGGCCACTTCCTCGCCGTTCAGGGGGCGCCCCTCTGATCGGCAAGCATCAGGGTGTTTTCAAGACGGCCAAATCTGCAGCTTGGCCTCCGGCACTTTGCCGGTGGACTGCATGGGCATTGCTCACCTCCTTTTTGCAAGAGTGGTCTGGGGGGAGTGAGTTTTCGAAGAAGAGAAAGGCAGAGGACGACCTTGGTGCCCAGAAGAAAGCACAGAAGAAAGGGTCAGAGGGGGCGGTGCCCTATGGACCCACCGGTAGCGGGGGGAGAAGGCCCTCCGCGCTGTTGCAGGTGGAAAGGGTTGGACGCCCCATTTCACGATGGAGGAGGACTGGCTTCACCAGGGAGGTGGCGCTCAGACAAGAGGAAGAGGCCGGAGGGAGAAGGATGGTCATTGCTTGGGCACCATCTACTGCTAGAGGCTGTCAAGGTGATGGGTAGTGTTGCTGAGGTCGAGACGGAGGCTTTCAGGATGGCAAAGGGAGGAGAGAGCTTTCGCTTGGTACGTGACGAGGCCTTCTTGAGGAAGATTAGACAGGTGCTGGGGGAGAAGTTGGACATCCCAGTGCAGTCGGAGCCGGAGGCGGGGCAGCCCTTTTTCCTAGACCTTCTGAAAAGGGTCCTGGAGAAAGCGGGGGATCCAGATTGGGAGTTCCTTGAGGAAGCCAAGACGGGGCTGCCCGTGGGAGTGCTAGGTGATCTACCCCGCACGCCCAAGATCTTTGAAGAGCAGTTGAGGTGGAATCTTGAAGGAGAAGACTGGGGTGAAGCGGTCTGGCAGAAGAGCAACTATGTTTCTGCTGAGGAGCATGAAAGATATCTTGTAGAGCATCTCGAGCAGGAGGTGTCTGAAGGCCTGATGGTGAAGATGTCAGAGGAAGAGTTCATTAGGACTTTTGGGCACAATCGTGCAGTGGCAGCACTCGCAGTGTTGGTGGAGGACGAGTTGACTGGCAAGAGACGGGTCATCCACGATGGCACGCACGGCGTCAAGGTGAATCACCGAATACGATGCCGAGACAAAGTGCGGATGCCGGGGCCGAGGGAGAAGCGTGCCCTCCTTGAGGAGTACGAGGAGGAACACTTGACAGTCCTGTCATTGGTGGGTGACTTCGCCAAAGCCCACCGCCGATTCAAGTATCGGCGGGAGGAGCAGGGCTTCCTGGCTTGTAAGGCAGCTTCGAGATCGGAGGTGGTCTACGTGAACCAAGTGGGCACCTTTGGGATAGCTTCAACACCCTATTGGTGGGCAAGGCTGAGTGCTGCGCTCATGAGGGCAGTTTACTGGGTGTTAGGTCCGAGCTTTCCGAACGACATGCTGCTGTACGCTGACGACTTGGAGGTGTTGACAGTGGGGCGTGTTGGGAGGATTGGCGGAGTTCTGGCATTTTCCTTCATGGCCGCCCTGGGAGCGCCCTTCAAGTGGTCAAAGCAGAGGGGAGGTCTCATCACAGAGTGGATTGGTTTGACAACCGATTACAAGCTCTATGCAATGGGTATTTCCCAGAGGAGATCGGCATGGATCGTTGAATGGGTTGGTTCGTTGAGGGCAAGGAAGGAGGTCACATACAGAGAGTTTGCTGCTGGCCTGGGGCGATTGGGCTTCACTGCATTGGCATTACCATGGGAGAAACTTCTCCTGGGCCCCCTGTATGCCTGGTCGGCTGCCATACAGTCGAACAAGGGCGCAATGACTATTCCATGGGCAATACAGTTCATCCTTGACTGGATTGCGCAGAGGCTGGGATCAGATGGCAGGCTGGAGCAAGTGAGGAGGCCCCGGGGCACCGCGAGGGCACCTTTGAGGATTTGGACGGACGCCAAAGCCACGGAGAGCGATGCCTGGATTGGCGGATGGCTGGAGGAGAGCCCAAGCAGCACTGAATGCCGGTGGTTTTCCTTGAAGATCACGGAAGTGAGTGCGCCCTGGCTTTAACTTCAGAGGCAGAAACCCAAAAAGAGTCATTGCAGCACTGGAGTTGATGGCAACCCTCATCGCTTTGAGGTTGTGGCTGAAGAGGCCAGGAGAGGCAGCTGAAGTATGTGCAGAAGCTTTTACCGACAATAGGGGGAATGCCTTCATTCTGAAGAAGGGGCTGTCGACGAAGTACCCCATCACACTTTTGGTGATCGAGGTGGCGGAGACATTGAGGAGACTTGATGCCTTTGCCACTCTGACATGGGTGAGCAGGGATGGAAACGTCCTAGCGGATGCCCTGACCAATGAGGATTTCAGCGGCTTCGATCCTCAGAGGAGGGAAGTCATTGTCGAAGAAGATTTGCAGTGGTACGTCATGGGGGATCTCCTCAAGACCAGTGAAAAGCTCTTCAATGAGATTAAGGAGCGCAAAGAAAAGAAGAAAGAGGCAAAGACGGCCGCAAAGCAGTCAAGGACAAAGCCAAAGAAATTCTTTGGAAGATGGGAATCCTGACTGAGACAGGGGATACGGACGCTCCTGGCACAGGCGGCAGGATTGGGAGAATCATTCCAACCT